CTTTGAATCTCTGATCTCCTTTCTTCTTTCCTCAACACACAAATTCCCATATACTTTCTGATCCCTCATTTCACCTTCACACATCAAATACTCCTCGTACTGCTTTTCCATAACTGCCCCTCATTCCAACTACACTCTATCACAGAGCTATCGCCCCATCTCATCGCTTTTCAATTCTTCATCTTCAATCGCAAACATGATGGACCCTCAAGCACACAAATATGCGGATATCCTCCGCTAACAAAAGGATTTCCACTACATGAGCCCTTTCGACAAGGCAAGACTGAAGGCTGCAAAGCTATGGCAGGCTCAAAATGATTACAGTACTCCTGTCTCGCCAATGCCCAGCATACCCGTACCAACAGTCGATCACCAACCTGTGTCCAGGCAAGACAAACTCAGTGCCAGGCAACGAGCTCGGCTTGGGATTCATACCCTTGACGGTCCCACCCCTACGATCAGCAGTGAATCCGACTCAAAGGAGCATTTCAATGTTTCTCAGCCTAAGATAAGCGAAGACAGTACTGGCTCTGAAGGACACTTCGAGCCTATAAATGGCAAACTTGTCTCTATAGATTCTATAAAGTCGCCAGAAACACCAGCGACATTGAGCAACGATTCCGAAGGGATTTCATTGATTCCTCAGTCCAGCAATCATGACTTTCCCAACGAGTTTTTTTCAATGTCGACAGAAGAACATGCGAGTTCCAATGGCCATGCAGCAGCAAAACGCAAGAGAACTATGTCGGACTCCAATTCTTCAAACCCCAAGCGTCTTACAAGTATCTTAAATCAGTCTACCGAGGTCATCGACTTGACGGACGACAGTTGTACCACGCAGCACCTTTTCGACGTCCTTCAGCAATCTGGGTAAATGCAGCGCCCTATTACGTTAGATGACGAGACCGAAATACCACAAACGAGACCATTGAATATCTGTACAGTCTCCACTGTCAAGCAATCTGAGACGATCAACTGCATTATAATCTTGGACGATGATGAAGCACCAGTCCAACCACCACACATCCTGAGTTCTTCAGGTGGCCCATTCGTAGACCTCGCGAATGTTGCAAACCAAGTTCAGGACATAGGACATACGCAAGAAACGAACAACAATCCAGAAAATACTAATTTAAACCAGGCAGCTAACCATAATTCCGGTACTAATCTGCCAAAGAAGGCCAGATTCGTCGAAAAGAGATGTCCAATCTCAATGTCCGAAATAGCTATGGGATTCACGAGCCATAGCAACCCACTTGCATCCTTCAACAGAGCACGACGCATACCTGGAACAGATATACAACCTGTTCTTCAGCCCGTATGACTCACTGTTACAGATTCTGTTTCCTGTCCTGATGATCTACCGCATCACATCTGGATCCAAGGGAGAGATATCATGAACCCAATTCGCGAATCTTTTCCGACAAGTGTGGGGGATCAGCAACCTATCCTAGCTCGCAATGGCTTCACGAGTCGACTTTTCAACATTCTGGAACTCCAATGGTTGGCGAGAAAGCCAAAGAGGGAATTTTCAGAGGTAGAACACACGGAGTTTCCATCGAAGATGTAACTTACGAATTTCGACGGCGCTACTGCTGGACCTTTGAGCCTAATCTTAGTACGAGAGTCAACAACGTCTTGCGCAAGTTACAAAAGAACCTAGACTACTTTCGGAGTTCGCAGCCAATGGAGATGTCTCCATTCTTCGATGAATATCGCTGGCAGAATGTTTACCTTCAAGTATTTCCTGGAAATAGTTAGGACATCAATTTTGAGTACAGCCTTGACACTAGTGAGAGAAGTAAATTCTCGACAACAAACTAATTCCTACCAAGATGTCAAAAATCGTCAAGGCCAGAAGACGCAACGAGTGGCTACTAGGCTGAACCGACTGATAGGACCAATTTAACGACAAGGATTTTTGTGCCTCTGTTTCCCGTTCAAGTGAATGGATTTTCTTCAAAGATCTCCTCTTGTTTCATTATTTTGTATTTATGGCACATTGCTCTCTGGAAAGTTATCTGATGTCTGTCATCCCCGGAGACCAACTTATTCCTAGCCCTTAGTCACCGCGGGACAGGAAAGATGTCGCGCACGCATGTACAGTACTAGATAGAACGATTACTTCAACCCCACCTCCCATTTTGATTCACAAGAGACGTAAGTGACTCGAATAGAGATCCCTCTCCAGGCCCCAGCCTCTCTTCCAAACGTTCTCCATAAAAGCCATCTCGACCGGCGCAAAGAGACATCTCCATCACCACTTCTGCATCTCAAAGACGCCTAGCCTCATATCCACCATGCCGCTTCTAGGTTCATCGTTCTGTCCGTGCAACAACTGCACAGGTAGGAACAGACGCCCGAGGGTCGCTCCTGGACCTCGAAGTACCACGACAACTCCAGCTCAGGCACAGCTCTCACAACCTCCACCTCCATATCAGCCAACTACACTTCGGGAACCTACAGATTCAGTATCTGCATACGAGCACCTGCCTCCGTATGTCGACATACCTCTGTTTCTATGTATCTTCGACGAACTGAACCACTGTGGGAAGCTGATCAATGATGAGGGTGGAGCGTGCGGTGGATGCACGAGTATCGTGGTATTAGAGCTAGGTCTGTGATCAAGGAACGATAGGCATGGATGAGGGAAACTGACGAAATGAAACATGGCTTATTGTTGTAATCTTGAGAGATTTTGATGTTTTTGCCTCTTCTGCTATGGTTGTAGTCGAGGATCCAGCGATATTTGGTATGCATGTTCAGTTGCGACGCTCTGCTCATAGCCTTGTGAGTCAAGAATTTGTCTGTGACTATGACTTGACTCTTCATACTGTATCTTAAACATTGAATCACAGTATGTCTGCTTGCATTACCATCAGGCTTGAATCCAGCTGTATAGAAAAGGTCGATGGCGGTATGCGGGGTTTAATTCGGTGGGCCCCCTCCATTCCAAGGGTTCGTCCAAAACGACAAGAACTAAAAAAAACATATAGCAGTAGGTATTCGCTAGTAGTCACCTACCCAACTATTAATCCACCGATTTGAAGCTTGAGTTTAATAGAGGGGACGAGATATTATATTTCTACTTAATCTACTATACTTAATAAGTGTGTTCAACTAGGATTTAGTATTTCGAGTTGAGAGTGTCTGCTCCTCCTGCACAGGTTGCAATGATTGCCAATGCATTCGGAAGTGATACGAAAGCGAGACCACTGCGGCTAGAGTAAGAACGTCTCTTTTTGCCATGAATGCCTCGCCATCACTGCCCCGGTTCGAATGCCGCACTTCCCAACCTCGTCACGAACAGGCCGTTCACTGACTTCATCGTGAGTTCAGCTTCTTTCTCCAAGACTTATGTCTCCTGCCATTTTAGGCCTCTTCTTACAGCACCATCGACGATCCTTGTGACATGGACGTATTGCTGTTCTTCGAAAGGCTGGAATCACAATGTGACGCAGGACCGGAGTGCTACGAGAGAAGCTAAAACCATGTACTGTGCCTGTGGAATCTGACATTCCGTGTAACTTGCTCGATGAAGACAGCAAAGTAAGCCGGGAGATGAAGTCTCTCAAGGGCAGGGGCGTTGACTATCTCAGACACTGGGAAGTAATTGGTCGAGCAAGGCGAATGCGACGAATTGGAGCCATTACCGAAAATTCTTGTAAGTAAGTAGGAGGAAGACGCTTTTCAAGAACAGGGGTGTTAATATCGAGAAGCGATTGGTCGAGCAAGACGAATGCGACGCACTGGAGCAACGCCCAAGTTAGTGCGCTTGATGCTTCTCAGAGCACGAATGTGTATAAGAGCTCATGATTTTCCCTTTGGAAATACTGGTTTGTCTACCTATTTTTCAAATCAATATCTGTCTCAATACCTCAATACAGCCTACTCATCAAAACAAGCCCGCTTCGTATCAGCCAACACTCTCAACATGAAGCTCTCTACCATCGCGGCAACCGCTCTACTCGTCACACCCAATTTGGCGTGCCTTGAGTGGCGGGGACAGCTCACTTGGGTTCCATTTTTGGGATATTCAGGAGTCGACGGCGTGGTCATTGATAACGGCCTTGAGGTTTGCAATAGCCGCTGGGGCTGGCGTATTGATAATGATGGACACCCACAATTCGATTGTCTCCCGGGCTACATCTACGCGACGGATGGCGTGACATCCTGGTACAGAAATAACGGCGGGGGCGCGTGGGCTTTAAGAAATGCTGCATGGAATCCTTCTCAAAGTGTTTGGCAGTGGAATACAAACGCTTTTGGTTGCTAGAATGCTTGTTAGTCAACTATTTCTGCATCTTGATGAAGGACTGACCGGAGATAGGGGTGTTGTGTTCTCGAAAGTAAACCCAGATTCACTTACTGTCAGTCTTCCAGCAGATATCGAGGAGGACTTTTATTATAGTAATAGGAGGTCGCCATATCTGGTGATTCGTACTTGATGTACTTCAAAGCAAAGCCTGAGTGGCGTGGCAGAATCAAAAGCAGCCATGCCATTATGTCATTAGTCGAATAGTATACGATCTAACCAGATCTGAGTTCTGGGATCGAGGTTCCTAGATTTTAAGTTATTTATATCACGTGCTGAAGCAGTAAAGAGACAGGTTCCGAGAAAGGAGGCAATATCTAATACTGCAGTCTGAGAGATCAATGAGATAGCCCTTTTCTCTTCAATCTATGGTCGTATGTGACAGCCTTTAGTCGTATCTCGATATATATTAGTTTAGTCGCTACATACTACGTTGGCTGGTAAAGATGTGCAAAGGTCTATATCCTTGAAATATGTTGATGGAAAATAAAGAGAACAAATGACTGGTTGAATAGTGATTACATTTTGGACAACGTGCTTATGCAAAGCTCTGTTGACTTCGTCGTCGTGGTGCATATGGCTGATCATCCCGGATAGCCAACCCAGCATTCTCCAAATCTCTAATATATGTATTTCGCTAAATAAGAAAGTCCTGTCAAGTCAGCAGCAAGTCAGCAGCCCAAAAGCGTTTGTGGTTTAGTGGTAAAATCCATCGTTGCCAGTTTCCTCTCTTTCTGAGAAGTCAGAAAAAGGATAAGAATCAGTATCGATGGGCCCCGGGTTCGATTCCCGGCGAACGCAGAATAAAATGTATTTTTTAGTTGCAGATCTGTCTTCAGAGCAAACAACAGGACATAGCATTTTTATTTCACTCTAGATTTTTTGTAGCTTCCGGGCCGGCAATGCTTGAAAGAGACTCTAACATTTAATAATCACTTTATCTTCTACTCGTTATTTCGCTCGTTCGTGGTTTTCGAACTTTTGTGATGGTTTTAAGTGCATGTAGAAAATTCTTCAAGAAGAGATTTTCAAAGTGGGTCGGTCACCCCGCAAACAGGTCCGTTTTGCAGTACCAGCAATTGAAATCTTCGGGGCTAAAAAGGAATTTAACCATGCAACAAAGCCTCGGGGTACCTCCACAACCGATAGTCACCCAAAAGAAAAAGTAAACTCCAAGTTACAACTTGGGGACATGAACTCAAGAGAAACTCTCTGACGGGGAGTCGAACCCCGATCTCCCGCGACTTGTCTTGGATGACAAGCGGAAATCATGACCGTTAGACCATCAAAGATTGAGCTTGAAAGCTGCTGATTGGAGGATGACTTCTTATTTGGGTATATGGACCAGATGAAAATTTTCTACCCAACGGACTGGACTGGGTCTGTGGAGTATGGATTGACGAAAGGCGGTGTGTGGAAAAGTGGAGAAGCAGAATATGTTCACTTCCCCTTTGTATTCTCTTGGAAACCAGAAGGTACCTTCTCTCAGATATTCCAGTATGAGTCTACGGCCTAACTTAGAGTTTGCAATCGATGTCTGATTCCCTGTAGACTTGCCGTTATGGTGGGACGCCTAAGATTACCCCGCAGCACAGAGTCAATTAAGCGAGAAAGTAAACAAAACTTCCGCCTGGCATGATACGTTTACTCCAAAGTGGAATCATCAGCCGAGCTTGATTTATCACTCGATTCATTTGAACTTATACACCCAATATTAAGCTTTTCACTGCTGCGCAAATGTCCTGTTTTTAAGGACATCTAAAATCGACATTGCAGAAAATAACAGACGTCAACGAGGCCACTGCATTCAAATTTATAGCGAAGCTTGCAAGATCACATTGAGTCTACGATAAAATGGCTGCTATCTATAGTTTTAAATTTCTTGGAGCATTTGACGGACCTTCACTGTTGAGACGATACAATGAAGGAAAACCAAGCCAACGTTCCAACGACACCTGATGCTTTCCCGCCTCAGCATCGGTCAATATTGGAAGTAAGAACAATTCATGGCTCAGTCGAACACATATTAGGCTTGCGCAGACTGTAATCTGGAGCCTCAAGATGACATGCCAATTCCAAGAAGCCATTGTTGAATCTCCTGTAATCAAGTGACCGCTTTGGATTCACTAATGTCCAAGATGAACCCGGATCTTCTAACCCAAACACAGTCACACCACCCAGTCCTTCGAAAAGTGAATATCTATACAGCATACCCCCTCTCGTACTTCCAGGCAGAGATTCATTCCTGAATATTTTCAAGCAGGGCTACAAGTCATATATCAAAGCTGCGCGATCTTCTTGAATCCGCATCTCGGATTCGAAACTTCCAGCGCAACCAGCCCCCCCAGCGCCTTCAACGCCTCGCAATTTGTCCTCGAACCACAAGGATTTAGTGCTAGAGCATCCAAAAATTTTATCCCTGGCACCCGACAGCATCTCAATCCTCAACCCACGAGATCGACGCAAAGCCGCCTTGCGCGCAAGTCAACAAACTCACACCCGCCTCCACACTATCGACACGCTGCCTCTCAAAATCGACACCCACACCACACCAGCGTCTACCGAACCCCTCAACAGCCTTGCCCAAAGAAAGAAAGATGTGCAACCACACAACCCTCACCTTCACCCTCTGCAACTGCCAAGAGATCACCATCAGCAAAAAGTGCACGCGAGCTCGACAAAGCGGGACAAACTGTTTCTACCGCGGTACTGGGGTTGATGTTGGTGAAGACCAAGACGAAGATATCGGTGAGGGTGTTGTCAGAGATGCTAAAGGGGATGTAAGAAAGGGTGGGAGCAAGAGGGGGGAGGTTAAGACGGGATGGAGAAGAAGGGGGAGATGGAAAACTATCGGACGGGAGAGTGGGGAGGGGAATAGAGGGAAGGTTTATAGGTTGGTGCAGGGGGAGTGTGAGTGGTGTGGCGGGGAGTATTGGGCATATCCTGATTGAGTTTGAGGTGGGAAGAGGGAGAGGGAGGTGGGAATAGGGAGAGGGAGGTGGTAGATGGGACGGCAGGTGGAGGGCCATCCGAAGTCTTTTGTGTTTGGCTTTGAGTTGCAGTGTTGGAGGATAGGTGAGACGGTGTGGGTTGGGTATGGGCCTGGGGTTGGATTTAGTCTCGTTGCTTGGCTTTGGAATGTGAAAGCATAGGATAGCAGTTGCGAGCGATTAACCCACGAAACCCGTCTGAAAGTCTGGAGATTCCACAGTGCCGGTCTCTCGAAGTTGTCGATAGCGGGTAAAACCAACAATATACCCCGCATAGCACATATTATCTATCAAAAGCAACATCGAATTTCCGTACATATCATGTAAGCTCATCCCATCTATCTAACACTCTCCACCCTCCATCCATTAGTATATTCACAATCTTAGCATCTTATCGAACTTTCTCCTACATAATTACATTGTAGAATAGAGGTGTTGTCGTTTTAAAGATTCGGTACTCCTGTACCACATTCCACAAGGGAGGCGGGTAGTTCTGCATCCGATCAATTCTCCAGAGTCACTAGCCACCACGTCCGTCAACTGCAGGAGCGTGGCAGCCCCCCGGATACAAGTACTACTTTTCATTTCCCTGCGTTTTGGGAAGTCGAAAGCCAATTCACAGGGCGTTTTATCTTCTCTCATCCTGACTCCTTCGCCTCTCTTCCTTCCAACATCATACTCATCAACAACCACATTCCCATCCTCCTCCCTTTGCTACCATTAAGTAGTATGTCCCCCCCCCCCTTGAAAGCGCTATGTAAACAATCCGCTGTGTAAGTAGCACTCCAAACAATCCGAGCACCGAGCTCTCGTCCCGACAAACCGCATTCCCATATCAAAGCCGATCTCTCTCCCCCTCGTAAGCTCTCTCTTACAGATGATCTTTCCACATCAAGTAGGTTACCATCTAGCACATTCACCTCGTGTCTCATTTCATCCCATGTCGCAGTTCACTTCACGGTACTATAGGAGCAGGACAACGGTCCTAGAATAGAAGACCTAAGTAGTGAAACGAAACGTCGTCAGGTAGATGCAACATCTCCCTTCGAAAACAACAAGTGTTAGCTAACACTCTAGATCCTCTTATACTCAAATTAAACATATCCAGCGGACAGCGATAGCAGTGTAGTATACTGTCTCCCCAGTCATATATGTACCCAAGACTCAACAGTCTCGTCTCAAGTCGATTTGACCAACCAATCAACTAACCTAACCAACCCAACCTAACCCATGCCATCTCATCCCATCAGCATAATAGATAGAGCTCAAGCCAAACCAGCCCAAAGCCATATCAGTTCTTCAATCCCAATAAGAAAGCTAGCGCCATTAAATTCGCGTACTCTGCAACTCTCTTATCTGTGATATCATATCAAAAACTTCGGAACTCAGTATAACCGAGGTAAATAAATATAAAAAGAATGACTTCAGGTGGATACATGAAGTACCTCAGTCAGATGCGACCCGGATGAGTTCCCATCAGCTTCGATCAGAACTCAGAAGATTACTCGGAGAAACCCCGAGAAACTGGAAGAATCAGAGAAGTATACTTGGAGAAATGTGTGAGACTAGCCATTGCTCCGACTCACTTAAGTAATATAATTGTAACGGACAAGTAAAGGAAACGGAAGAACTTTTGCATAGTATTAAAACCACACCTATCGCCCTATCACCGAATCAATCACTCAAAGGAAAAGCTCCAATCGTATAGCAGCATTCCATTCCACTGCTCTTGTCCTCCCCTTCAGGCATTTCACCCTTTCATTTCCATCGCAAAGAATTGTACAAACGAAAAGGCTCAGTCAGACAACGTCCTACTTTTTTGCACGTATCCCCTCCTAATCATACAACATTCCAATTCCAATCGACAAAAAGTATTCACGGTTATTTGCTTCTGTTCCTCATCCTCAAAATCGATCGATCGGGCCGCAAAGAATCCACACCCCTGTCTTTTCATCTTATCTACAGTGACAGACGCTTCCTTTGTAGAGTTGCCTCGCGAGTAAACAGCGGAATTTAGCTTGTTTCCATTCTCGGCCTCCGGAGAATATTCAGGATCTTAAAATCCAGCTGAGCTAGCCACGGCCCAGAATGAGCGAGCTACGATGTTCGCCTTGTTGCCAAGAGCGTCCCCACTGTTAGGGTTTTCACCAGTTGCATCGTCGGGGTATACCAAGAACGCTAGAGCGATTATGATATAGAGCCCAAGGAGCTACGAAAGTCAGTACTTATTATTCCTCAAAAATTGCAAGGAAAACTCACCATAGCTCCCTCGAGATAGTTCGATTTTCCATCACTAATTACATAGGTGACGACCAAGACGCTCAAGAAGAAGACTACTGTCTCGAAGGTCTCGAAGTGGAGAGTCATATCCACACCAATGGCCCAACCGAGAAGAACCAACGAAGGAGTGACGAGAAGTGCAATCTGCATGGAGCTACCGATTGCAACTCCCATAGCCAAATCCATCTTGTCCTTCACAGCGACCACGATAGCGGTGACGTGCTCGGCAGCATTTCCAACAATTGGAAGGAGGATCAGTCCAATGAAGGTCTTCGAGATGTGCGCAGTCTCCACGAGAGAGTCGATGGATCCAACAAGATACTCCGCACAGATTGCTACTGCAACCGTAACGACCAAGAGAACACCACCAGCTGCCCATGGGCTCAATTGTGGCTCCTCCTCCTCCTCATCCTCTGCTGGTGCCTCGGCGTCGAAAAGACTGGCATGTGTGCGAAGTTGGAAGAAGAGGTAGAGAACGTAAAGGATGAGGAGAATGATCGAAGTTCCGTGGGAGAGTACCGAGATGTTATG